GTTCATCCTAGAGTCCTTCTGGGGGTTTTTTGTGTGTGTGCCAACACATGGGAGCTAGAGCCTTTTTTAAATGGGAGGATTTAAACCATTTATTTTTCTTATAATTTATTTTTCATTTTGTTCCTACCATTTTATTTTATATTTCTATCATTTGCTTTCTTATGACTCCCCCTCATCCCATTTTTACCTTTCTGTATTTTGCCGAAATTATCCAGGTTTCTTTGCTGCTTTTTCCTCTCTGGTAGTGATGAAAATTATACATCGTTTGTGGCTTCCTACATTTTAATATACATATTTAGACTTATACTTCTCTAACAACTGTTTCAATTAAGTACTGTAGCCTTTCAAAATGAAACTATTAGTACAACTTAACTTTCTTTTTTTTTTTTTTTTTTTTTGAACAGAGTTTCACTCTTGTTACCCAGGCTGGAGTGCAATAGCGCAATCTCGGCTCACCGCAACCTCCGCCTCCTGGGTTCAGGCAATTCTCCTGCCTCAGCCTCCTGAGTAGCTGGGACTACAGGCACGCACTACCATGCCCAGCTAATTTTTTGTAGTTTTAGTAGAGACGGGGTTTCACCATGTTGACCAGGATCGTCTTGATCTCTTGACCTTGTGATCCACCCGCCTCGGCCTCCCAAAGTGCTGGGATAACAGGCTTGAGCCACCGCGCCCGGCTTCAACTTAACTTTCTTCTCCCCATTCCATCTTCCATGCTTTGCTGAAATAATCTGAAACCTTAATCTAGATTACTGTGGGGGGTTTTAATCAATGGAAGGATTGCATACCTATATATAGAGAAAAAAGTGTACTTGCATGTCTGAAAATGTATTTTTCCTTCTTTCTTTCTTTTTTTTTTTCTTACAAATGAAAGATAGTTTGGCTAGATATACAGTTCTAGCATCACAGTTCTTTTCCATCAGACCTGTGTAGATGTTGCACCATTGTATATTGTTTGATTAAAATTTTTATTTTGAGATAACTGTAGACTCACATGCAGCTGTAAGAAACAGAACAGAAAGATCCTATGTACTCTTTTCACACTTTCTCATAATGATAACATTTTGTAAAACTATAATATCATAACCAGGATATTGATTTTGATACAGTCAAGATAAAGAAGGTTTCTGTCACATCAGGGATTTCTTAGAGTACATCAAGATAAGTGACCTTAAACAGTATATAACATTTTGGGATTGGCTTTTTTCATTCACCGTAAGTGTCTTGAAAGTGATCCTGATTATTACATCTATCAATAGTTTGTTTCTTTTTATTGCTGAGTGGTATTTGATGATGTGTATACTCCACAGTTTGTTTAATCATTCACCCATTGAATGATATTTGGGTTGTTTCTAATTTTAAACCATTACAGATAAAGCTGCTATGAACCTTTTTGTTGATGTTTGTATGTTAACATAAGTTTTCATTTCCCTGGAATAAATGCCCAGGAGTGTAATTGCTGAGTTGTATGGCAGCTGCATGTTTAATTTTACAAGAAACTGACAAACTATTTTCCAGAGTAGCTATACCATATTATTTTCCCATCAACAAGATAAAACGCTCTAGTTTCTCTGCATTCTTGCCAGCATTCGATGTTGTTACAATTTTTTATTTTAGCCATTCTAATAGGTATATTTTAGTAATTTCTCATTGTGGCTTTAATTTCTATTCCCCTAATGGCTAATGATTTTGAACATACTTTCATGTACTTATTTACCATCTGTATATTCCCTTTGGTGAAATGTCTCTTTTGCCTATTTTCTGCTTGAATTGTTTCCTAGGGCTGCCTTAACATAAGTGCTATAAACTGGGTGGCTTAAAACAACAGAAAATCTATTGTCTCACAATTCTGGGGTGTAGTAGTCTGAAATCAAGATGTTGGTGGCCAGGCACAGTGGCTCACACCTATAATCCCAATACTTTGGAAAGCCCAGATGGGTGGATCACTTGAGTCCAGGAGTTTACGACGAGCCTCACTGACGTGGTGAAACCCCATCTCTACTAAAAATACAAAAATTAGCCAGGTGTGGTGGCACATGTCTGTAATCCCAGCTACTCAGGAGGCAGAGGTTGCACCCCAGCCTAGGTGATAGAGCAAGAATCTTTCAAAAAAAAAAAAAAAAAAAAAAAAAAAAAAGCCTGGGCATGGTGGCTCATGCCTGTAATCCCAGCAGTTTGGGAGACTAAGGTAGGCAGATCACTTGAGGTCAGGAGTCTGAGACCAGCCTGGGCAACATAGTGAAACCCCATCTCTACTAAAAATTAAAAAATTAGCAGAGCATGGTGGTGCACTCCTATAGTCCCAGCTACTAGGGAGGATGATTAAAAAAAAAAATCTTGTAATTAAAAAAAAAAAATTGGCAAGGTTGTTCCTTCTGAGGGCTCTGAGAAAGGATTTGTTCATGCTTCTCTTCAAGCTTCTGAGACAGCCAGCAGTCCTTCAGTCTCTCTGCTTCTGACATCACACAGCATTCTCTCCTGAATCTCTCTGTGTCTCTTTTCCTCTTATAAAGATACTAGTCATACTGGGTTACTCTAGTATAACTTTAACTTCTTAATTACATCTTAATTAATTATATTTTCAACAACTCTGTTTTCAAATAAAATCACATTCAGAGGTACTGGGAGTTATGTCTTCACCGTATCTTTTTGAGAACACAATTCAGCCCATAATTGGTTGTTTCTTTTACTGTTGACTTTTGTGTTTAGGTTATTAGCCCTTTGTCAGGCATAAGGTTTGCAATTTTTTTTTTTTTTTTTGCCTAGTCTTTAGCTTCTTTCTTCATCCTCTTGACAGGGTCTTTCAAGGCAAAAAAAAAATTTCATTGCAGTGAACTCCAGTGTATCAATTTTTCCTTTTATGCGCCTTGCTTTTGGTGTCAAGTCTTTGCCTAATCCTAGATCCCAAATATCTTCTTTTGTGTTTTTTTGTAACTGTATCATTGTTTTGCATTTAATGTTTAAGTTCATGATCCATTTTGAGTGTTTTTTGTGTGTGAGTATAAGATCAAGATTCAATTTTTTGCCTAGGGTTGTACCATTGTTCTAGCACTAACTGTTGAAAAGGCTATACTCTCTCCACTGAGAAAGGACTGCACATTTCTCAAAAATCAATTGGGTATATTTGTGTAGGTCTGTTTCTGGGTTCTTCATTTTGTTCCATTGACCTGTGCGTCTGTTCTTTTGCCGGAACCAATCAATGTCTTGATTAGGCTATGATGAGTGCTTACATTGAATAGACTGATTGCTCTCCATTTAGTCTTCTTTTTTCAAAATTGTCTTTCTGCCTAAATTTGCTGGAATTTTGATAGGAATTATGTTAAACCTATTTATCAATTTGGAGAGAATATCTTTACTATGTTGAGTTTTCAAATCCATGAACACAGTATGTCTCTGCATTTATTTAGATCTTAACCTGATTCCTTTAATCAGCATTTTGTCATTTTTAGCATACAAGTCCTGTACATGTCTATTGTCTTATTAAATTTAATTCTTTGTATTACTTTTTCTTTTTTTCTTTTCTTTCTTTCTTTCTTTTTTTTTTTTTTTGAGACGGAGTCTTACTCTTGTTGCCCAAGCTGGAGTGCAATGGGGTGATCTCAGTTCACTGCAACCTCCGCCTCCTGGGTTCCAGCAATTCTCCTGCCTCAGCCTCCCTAGTAGCTGAGATTACAGGTGCCTGCCACCACACAAGTCTAATTTTTTGGTATTTTTAGTAGAGATGGGGGTTTCACCATGTTAGCCAGGCTGGTCTCGAACTCCTGACCTCAGGTGATCCGCCCGCCTTGGCCTCCCAAAGTGTTGGGATTACCGGTGTGAACCACGGCACTGGGCCTGTATTACTTTTTTTTTTTTTTTTTTTTAACAATTGTAAATGTCATTGTATTTATAATTTCAGTGTTCCTATGTTCATTGCTAATTTATAAAAATACAGTTGATTTATATACATGTATCTGATATCCTGCAACCTTGCTGAACTCACTTATTCATTTTAGAAATTTGTTTGAAGATTCTTTGGGATTTTGTTGTTGTAGATGTTGATGTTGGCAAATAGGCTCAGTTTAATTTCTTCCTTTCTGATGTGTATGCCTTTTATTCCCTTTTCTACCTTATTGCACTGGCTAGAACTTCCAGCACTATGTTGAATAAGAGTGGTGAGAGCAGATATCCTGCCTTGTTCCTGGTCTTAGGGGGGTAAGTATTCAGTCTTTCACAATTAAGAATAATGTTAGCCGTATAGTTTTTGTTGTTATTGTTTGGTTGGTTTTTGCTGGTTTGATTTTTGTAGATGCTTTTTAACATGTCAAAGAAGTTCTCTTCCATTTCTATTTCTGGGAGTTTTTCTTTTTTGTCATAAATGGGTGCTGATGTTTATGAAATGTGTTTTTTTTAATCAGTTAATATGATCATGTGATTTTTTTCTGTAGCCATTTAATATGGGTAGATTACATTGATTTTTTTTTTTTAATATTAAGCCAGCCCTGCATCACTTGAATAAATCTTACTTGGTCATGGTGTTATAAAATTCTATTTACAGATTGCCAAAGTCTACTTGCCAATATTTTATTAAGAATTTTTGTGTCTATATCTGCCAGACACTGTCTTTATCTGAGTTTGCTGTCAAGGTCGCACTGGCTTCAAAAAAATGCCTTGAGAAATGTTCCCTTCCATTCTCTGCAAAAGATTGTCAAGGATTTGTGCTCATTCTTATTTAAACTTTTGGTAGAATTCTCTGGTAAAAGCTTCGAGGCCTGGAGCATTCATTTTTGTGAATATTTAAATGACTAATTCCGTTTGTTTGATAATTATAGAACTGTTCACATTATTTTATATTGGGCGAGTTTTTGTAATTCGTGGTTTTTGAGAAATTAGTCTGTTTTATTTATGTTACTAAATTCATGTCTGTATATGTATGTATACTTATTTATCCTTTTGATGTCTGCAGTGTCTGTAGTGATCTTTCCTATTTAATTGTTGATATAGGTTATTTGTATCTTCTCTTTTTTTTTTTTTTTTGTCATTCTTCCTAGAGGTTTGTCAGTGTTATTGATCAAAGAACAGACTCAACTTTTTGTTTCATTGATTTTTCTCTATTGTTTTCCTGTTCTCAATTTAATTGATTTCTGTTTATTATTATTTCATTTTTCTTGACCAACTTGCCCTTTTTCTAGGTTCTTGATGTAGTTTAGATTATTGATTTGAGACTTCTTATTTTCTTTTTTTTTTTTTTTTTTTTTTTTTTTTTTTGGGTTTTTTTTATTTTTTTTCCCCAGGCTGGAGTGCAATGGCGCGATCTCGGCTCACCGCAACCTCCGCCTCCTGGGTTCAGGCAATTCTCCTGCCTCAGCCTCCTGAGTAGCTGGGATTACAGGCACGCACCACCATGCCCAGCTAATTTTTTGTAGTTTTTTAGTAGAGACGGGGTTTCACCATGTTGACCAGGACGGTCTCGATCTCTTGACCTCGGGATCCACCCGCCTCGGCCTCCCAAAGTGCTGGGATTACAGGCTTGAGCCACCGCGCCCGGCTAGACTTCTTATTTTCTTATGTGTGCATTTAGTGCTATGAATTGCCCACTCAACACTGCTTTACTTATGTCTCTCAAATTTTGCTATGTTGTATTTTCATTTTCTTTCTTTCTTTTTTCTTTTCTTTTCGTTTTTGAGATGAAGTTTCACTCTTGTCACCCAGGTGGAGTGCAATGGCACAATCTCGGCTCATTGCAACCTTTGCCTCCTGGGTTCGATCAATTCTCCTGCCTTGGCCTTCTGAGTAGCTGAGATTATAGGCACCTGCTACCACACCCAGCTAATTTTTGCATTTTTGGTAGAGATGGGGTTTCACCATATTGGCTAAACTGGTCTCAAACTCCTGACCTCAGGTGATCCACCCACCTCAGCCTCTCAAAGTGATGGGATTACAGTTGTGAGCCACTGCACCCAGCCTTTTTTTTTTTAAACTGAGATGGAGTCTTGCTCTGTTGCCCAGACTGGAGTGCAGTGGCAAATCTTGGCTCACTGTAACCTCTACTGCCTGGGTTCAAGCAATCCTCGTGCCACAGCTTCCTGAGTTAGCTGGGACTACAGGCACTACACGACTACACCCAGCTAATTTTTTTGTATTTTTAGCAGAGACAGGGTTTCACCATGTTGACCAGTCTGGTCTTGGAACTCCTGACCTCATGATCTGCCCACCTCGGCCTCCCAAAGTGCTGGGATTACAGGCATTGAGCCACCTCGCCTGGTACTTTCATTTTAAATCAATTCAATTTATTTTTAAAATTTTTTAAGACCTCTTTGACTTATAGATATTTGAAGTGTGTTAATTAGTTTCTAAGTGTTTAGATATTTTCTGGCTACCTTTCTGTTAGAAATGTCTAGTTTGATGCAACTATGTGCAGTAACATACTCTGTTAGACTTTGATTTTTGAAAGTTTGCTTGAGATTTGTTTTATGACCAGGGATATGTATGATCTGTGTTGGTGTAGGTGCCATGGACACTTGAAAAGAATGTGTATTTTGCTGTTGCTAGGTGGAGTGCTCTATAAATTTTGATTATATCTTCTTGTCTAATTGTATTCCTTGCTGGTTTTCTAACTAGTTGTTTCATCAGTTGTTGAGAGAAGGTTTTGAAGTGTTTGAGTATAATTACAGATTTGTTTATATCTCCTTTCAGTTCAATCAGTTTTTGCTTCACATGTTTTACAGCTCTGTTGTTTTGTGCGTGCACACTTAATACTACCATATACTTTTAGTGAATTGACCATTTTATCATTACATAATGTTTCTTTCTCTGGTAGTTTTATTTGCTCTGAAGTCTGCTTTAATGTTAGTATAGCCGCTCCTGCTTTCTTTTGATTAATGCTTGCATTACATATCTTTTTCCATCCTTTTCATGTGCATGTATCATTATTTTTAAAGTGAGTTTCATGTAGACAGCATATTATTGGGTGATTTTTTTAATTCATTCCACCAACGTCTGTGTTTTAATTGGCATATTTAAACCATTTAAACTTAAGCTTGCCATTTTAAACTTTATTTTCTGCTTGTTTTCTCTATTTTTTATTTCTGTTACTTGAATAATTTTTTGAAGTCCATTTTGATTTTTTGTAGTGTTTTGAGTGTATGTCTTTGTGTAGTTTTTTTACTGATTGCTGTAGGCATTGTATTATATATGCAGTTCACTATTATCATTTTACCAGTTCAGACTATAAATCTTACGTCCTTTTATGTCCCTTTATCCTTCCTTAATTTTAATATGCTCATCTAATATTTTCTCTGAATACATTTAGAACCAGGTTGGCCACTTATAATTTTTCTTCAATCATTGACTGTAACTTAGAAAACTCAAGAGGAAGAAGTTTATTGTATTTCCCCTTATATTTGTTTACCATGTTGTTTCTTCCTTCTTAATGTTCTAGGGTTCCTTTTCTTATCATTTCCTTTCTGTTAAGACAACTTCCTTTAGTTACTCTTGAAGCATGGGTCTGCTAGCAACAAATTCCCTTTATTTTCCTTCATGTGAGGCTGTCTTGATTTCCTATTTCATTCCCGAAGGATATTTTTGCTAAATGTAGGATTTTGAGTTGATGGCTCTTTTCTTTCAGCACTTGAAAAATGTGTTCCTTCCTTTTGGCCTCCATTGTTTCTGATGAGAAATCTTTGCCTTTCATATTATTTCCCCCAATGGTATCTCCCTAGTTGCTTTCAAGATTTTTGTTGTTTTAACTCAATTACCTCTGGAAAAAAAAAAAAAAAGATTTTATTGTTGTTAGTTTTCAGAAATTTGACTACCATGTGTCTTGTAGATTTCTTTGGGTTTATTCTCTTTGGAGTTTGTTCAGCTTCTTGAATCTGTACATTCCCAAGTAGCTGGGATTATAGGTACCCACCACTGTGCCTGACTAATTTTTATATTTTTAGTAGAGACAGTGTTTTGCCATGTTTGCCAGGCTGGTCTTGAACTCCTGACCTCAAGTGATCTGCCCACCTCGGTCTCCCAAAGTGCTAGGATTACAGGCGTGAGCCACCATGCCTGGCCCTAGTTTACTTATGCTTTCCCCTTTCTTTTCCATTCTGCTGTTGAGCCCATTTACTTAGTTTTGTTTTGTTTTGTTTTAATTTCAATTACTGTGTTTTTCAGTTCTATAATTTCCATTTTGTTCCTCTTTATATCTTCTGTTTCTTTGCTGAGATTTTCAATGTTTTCACTTGTTTCAAGCATGTTCATAAATGCTTACTTAAACATTTTGATGATGGCTGTTTTAAAATCTTTGTCAGATAATTTTAACATTTTTGTCATTGGTGTTAGCATTCATTAATTGCCATTTCTCATTTTGATTTTGTGATCTTTCTAGTCTTGATATGATGAGTAATTTTTAATTGAAACCTGGACATTTTGCGTATTGTGTTATGAGACTCTGGATTTTTTTTTTTTTTTTTTTTTTTTGTTTTTTTTTTGATTGAGTTTCACTCTTGTTACCCAGGCTGGAGTGCAATGGCGCGATCTCGGCTCACCGCAACCTCCACCTCCTGGGTTCAGGCAATTCTCCTGCCTCAACCTCCTGAGTAGCTGAGATTACAGGCATGCGCCACCATGCCCAGCTAATGTTTTGTATTTTTAGTAGAGACGGGGTTTCACCATGTTGACCAGGATGGTCTCGATCTCTTGACCTCGTGATCCACCCGCCTCGGCCTCCCAAAGTGCTGGGATTACAGGCTTGAGCCACCGCGCCCGGCCGAGACTCTGGATTTTATTTAAACCTTCTGTGTTAACTGGCTTCCTCTGACACCACTCTGACAGCAAAATGGTGGGTTGTAATGCTACCTCATTAATGCCAGGTAAAGGTAGAAGTCCAGGCTCCCTACTCAGCCTCTGTTTGACACAACGGGGCAGGGACATGGCAGGAACGGGAGTTTCAGCTCTCAACTAGGCTTTCACTGATACCTCTTTGACTGGGACAGGTAGGAGTGCTTGTTGCCACTGTGTAAAATCCTGATTCTTCACTAGATCTGTCATCACCCTAATGAGGAGAAGTATAGTTTACTGCTGGATAGGGGTAAAAGTCAGGGTCCACATGTAGTCTCTACTGATATCACTGAGGTAGAGCCTCATTATCACCATGTTGGGTAAAAATTCCAGCTGGCCAGCATGGTGAAACCCCATCTGTACTAAAAATACAAAAATTAGCTGGGTGTGGTGGCACATGCCTATAGTCTCAGCTACTCAGGAGGCTGAGGCAGGAGAATAGCTTGAACCCAGGAGGCAGAGGTTGCAGTGAGCCAAGATTGTGCCACTGTACTCCAGCCTGGCGACAGAGCGACACTCTGTCTCAAAACAAAAACAAAAACAAAAAAATACCAGCTTCCTACTTGGCCTTTTCTAACACTATCCCAGCAAGATGGCTGGGAGGATCTTGTTGCATCCTGGCATGAGTGAAAATCTAGGCTCTGCCTTCAGCCTTTGCTGGCATGTCTTTAGGGATGTGGCCATAGTTTTTTCTGGGTTGTTTAGCTAAAGTAGGGCAATTCTTGTTTAAAAGCTTTCAGTCTTGTTAGACTACTCCTTTTTTGATTCTTTGGCTAGAGAGAACAGGTTCATTGGGCCTTTTTTTTTTTTTTTTTTTTCCTGGTCTTCACCCGTTGGCATTTCTGGTTTGCCAACTTTGTCAGCTCTACATCTGGGATATAGGAGACAAAAACAAAGCCCAGAGAACTCGTTACCAAGCTATTCCTTGGGTCCCCAGGTTCCTAGTTAGTGTGCTACCTTCTGTCCAACTTAATGTTCATTGTTTTTTAGTTATATTTAGCTGGATAAATAGGGAAATGTATGTCTATGCCATCTTTCTGGAGCCAGAAGTCTACCTGACTGTCTTTTAATGGACATATACACAGTGATTCTTCTATATTTTATTGTTGTATTTTAGTTAATAATGAAAATTAACATTTCTAAAGTACACAGCATGTGCCCAGGTACTGTTCTAAGTGTTTTTCATCTATTGAATCATTTAATTCCTTTAAAACTTTATGAAATAGTTACTACTACTATTCTGCCTTATCAGATGAGGAAACTGAGACATAGAAAAGATAAGTAACAAGCCCTAAATTACTGGCAAATGCATGGTTAAACCCCTGGCTGTCAGACTCCACAAGCCCACTGTCATATTCATGACCTAAGGTAAATCTCAAATCTATATGCTTTCCATTATAACAATTTTTTTTTTGAAACTTGTCATAGTTTTTCTATCCTGGAATTCAGAAATTTTACTTAGGATCTGTCTAAATATAGGTCTTAATTTTAAAGTAATTCTCTCTAGGACCCAGCATATCCGTTTGATCAGAAAGCTTAGGTCTTTCTACTGATCAGTGACATGTTTTTAAAATTATTAATTTTTCCTCTCATCCACCCACTCAAAAAGAGATTTTGCAGAAGGTGTTTCATGTGGCCATAAAGATACTCAATAAAGAACAAAGAAGTTAGTTCTTTCTAATGTGTCAAAAGCTTTCTTCTTCTTCTTTTTTTTTTTTTTTTTTTTTTTTTAAGAGATAGTCTTGTTCTGTAACCCAGGCGGGAGCATAGTGGCATTATCATAGCTCACTGTAACCTTGAATTACTGGGCTCAAGTGATCCTCCCATCTTAGCCTCCAGAGTAACTAGTACTACAGGCACATGCCACAATGCCCAGCTAATTTTTTTTTTTTTTTGAGACGGAGTCTTGCTCTGTTACC